TTCATCGGATATGGATCGATAGTCGTCATGTATAGTTACTTATTGGCCTTTGATTTTCTTCAGTGTTTGGGGCACTCAAATGTTGAGGTCTTTCCTTATATGATATTTGAAGCTCATCCCTTCCTCAAGTATTTTATCCGCACGCCTACGTAAGTCCCGACTCGTTTCTGTCTCTTATATTTGATTGATTTCTCGTCTAACTTTTTCATTCGTTTGTGCACGTTTTCGCCGAAATTCTGGCGCATTAAGTTTTCGAGCACTTAATATTGTTTCCCTTTTTGCTGTTTGTAATTTCAAACAGAGAAGTATAGCTGTATAAGGCATATATGTTTTTAGACACTTGTCATTTCTGTTAAGATATTGTTATCTTGTTTTTCATTTTCTTCGTTATGTATTGATATATATTCGCATACTCAACAAATTTTATGTTATAGTGTTTCCCCAAATGTTTTAGTTATGCAATGAAATTGTTTCCTTTTTTTTTTCTGCTGTAATACTCTGTAGATATCATAGCCTTCACCACACGGACATGCGAACTAATTTTTGCCTCTTCATGCCGATGTACGATAAGTTGTGGAAGACAATGAACACCAATTCTTGGGACCTTCATAAAGAAATAAGTTCAAGAACAAGTACTCTCTCTCTCTCTCTCTTTCTCTCCTAATGCATGAAATTTACCTTCCCTTATAAGTCCTCTTTTAACACTTTGATGTACGGAAATTCACAGCAAGCAGAGTACCGGAATTCGTGTTCTTAGCACATGTAGTCGATGTGATGTCAGCATTGCATGCCCCGTTCGTTTTTCGGACATTCAACTCGACCCCTTTTGGCATAAAGCCCTTCTTGTTCCCAATGTGGCCCTTCACGTACTTAGTCACGCTTCTTATGTGGGCAAAGTCTAAAACCTTCTTGTTCAGCTTTTACAACCTCAGGGGAAGACTGCACCAAACTTGGGTCGTCCCAAGGCTCGGTTTTCAGGTCTTTTTCTCTTTTTCCGTAAAAAAAAAAAAATCATATTTGCTCGGTTTTCAGGTTTTTTACAACTATGTCGTTTTTACGTTTTGCAGTACTTTTTGCCTTTTGCTAAAGAAGGCATAAACAATCAAATAGAAGATGCTATCCTTAAAGCAGACAAACTCGGTGTCAAGGTTATCAGCCTTGCTGCACTAAATAAGGTTTGTGTTTTGTCATTTAAGGATATATAACTAGTTTAACCAAAAAAACACATATATATAATAATACACGAATTCATTATTTGAAGATTAATTTGCATTCTAATTGATATAAACTCGAGTTTCATTTACTTTACAGAATGAAGGCCTCAATGGAGGAGGAGTTCTGTTTACTAACAAACATCCGAACCTTAAAGTTCGCGTGGTCCACGGGAACACATTAACGGCTGCTGTGATATTACACGAACTCCCTCGAGATGTGGACGAGGTTTTCTTGACTGGGGCAACTTCGAAGCTCGGGAGGGCCATTGCACTTTACCTTGCTCGACGCAAGATCAGAGTTTTGGTGAGTAACATTAATCCATGACTAAGTGAATATCGTATTTAGGGATGATTCTGAAAAATCTAAGTATGATGAGAATATGTATGTACAGATGCTAACTTTATCCACTGAGAGATTTAGCAAGATTCAGAAAGAAGCACCTGTTGACTGCCAACAGTATTTAGTTCAAGTCACCAAGTATCAAGCAGGTCAACACTGTAAGGTACAATATCATACTTTTTACTAGTTTTGCTTAATTATAGAGAATCTGATGAACCCAAGAAATGTGGCCAAGATACACACACACACACACACAAAGTTTGGTTATTTTTCAAAGTGTTAAAAATTTCAGACGTGGATAATCGGCAAGTGGACGACACCAAGAGAGCAGTACTGGGCACCATCAGGCACACATTTCCACCAGTTTGTGGTCCCACCAATCATCCCATTTAGAAGGGACTGCACTTATGGCAAGTTAGCAGCAATGAGGCTCCCGGACGATGTTGAGGGGCTTGGATCATGCGAGGTATATGCGCCATAAAATTTCATCACATTAGTAGAAAAGTGTCCCATTTATTTAGAAACTTGTAAACTAGGGATATATTAACATGAACACATGAATCATCTTATTAAATCAAGTTTCTCTTTTCTCATCATTTGCGCGTAAAACGCTAACATATGAGAGTGACTAATATTTGAAATTGGACGACTTGCTCTCGTCTGTTCTTTCTTGTTTGAAAAAAAAAAAAATCAGTATAC